TTTTATTCCTATTAATGGATCTCAAGTAAGAGAGAAATGGGATGGAGAGAAAGGGAGGAGGGTCACCCGAATTCCACCCGAATGACAGATATTATAATAGACCAAAACTTTAGAATAGTGTTAAACTCAGGCAGGAAGCTCTTTGGTTAGCGACACTCTCATTTGTCAGGCTGTGTCCACAGCTAATCCATTAGCTTTGCCAAGCAGGCTGTTCTCCACAATTTGCTAAGCCGTAACAATATTGCATGCCCAGTTCTGTCAACCTCAGCCAGGATAAATAAACCTGCTGATAAAATTCAGGCTTTCTGAAGAAAGCTATGTGTAACATATTACTGGGATGACGTCACTGCCAGAGGCCTAATACAGTAAATGCAGATACTACATATAGTTTGATCTGGCCATAGATGGTCAGAATATATTTTCAAGTATGTTTTTGAGTCATTTTTCAGTCATGTCTGACTCTTTGTAACACTCCTTGGAGTTTTCTTGGCAAAGATACTGGAGTGGTTTGCCATTTCCTTCTGTAGCTTGTTTTACAAATGAGGAAACTAAGGCAAACGGGTTTAAGTGACTTTTGGCATCTCTAATTTCAATGTTTTGTGCTGCTGCAGGTCAGTTTTTACTATACCACAGGTGAAAATGATGTTCAGTTTACTAGATGATAACTCTGTATGTTCATTGTTGTTCAGTCATGTCCAAACCCCATTTGGAGTTTTCTTGGCAAAGACATTGTAATGGTTTGCCATTTGCTTCTCCAGCTCATTTTACAAATGAGGAAAATAAGGCAAACAGGCTTAAGTGACTTGACCAGGATCACACAGCTAGTAAGTGCCTGAGGATGGATTTGAACTCAGGTCTTCCTGACTCCAGGCCTAACATTCTATCTACTGTGCCACCTAGCTGCCCAATTTGCAAGTATAGCACTAACCAAAATATAAGAACCCAATTAATTTTTCACAGCAAATGGAAAGATATGTCATAACCTATCCAAAACACATTACCCTTACTCCTTTTTCCCTTTCAATGGTCCTTGCCACAGTCCTCTTTACCTCCCACTGTTTAATTTCATCCTTACTTCCATTTCAATTCCAGATTCCCATCCTCAGCCTTTAAGGGTAGTTTCTTACTTCCCATCTTGTCATTTCCCCTCAATATAAAGACTACAGTTAAGTCACAGGCTCTTACTTACAATACAAGGACTACAAGTAAGTTACAGACCTTCAGTCTCTAATGGTTGTTGAAGACAAGGAATGCAATTAGAAACTATGACAATCAGAGATTAATTTTTTTTAAGGAAGGATCTATGATATTTGCTGTGGTTCACACAAGCAAAAGAACCTTCCATGCCTTTTGGAGTCACGGCACTACCTAGCATCTAGCTCAGTCATGCTTACTTAGGTATGGAATAAATATTATTTGACTATGTAATAGAAGAGTATGGATCATTTAATAAGCATAGTTTACTCTACTTCATATGCAACAGAGAGAACAGATTACAGCAGAATCAGGAGACATAAAAGGAACCTTGTTAAGTGTGTGGGCACAAGGTATGAAGGTATTACAATACTATGTTAAAACTGTGCATTCCTCTGTGTGTGTGTATGTGCACATGTGTTTGTGTGCATGTGTGTGTGTGTGTGTGTGTGTGTGTGCATACAGAAAAAATATTTTGGCTTATATCTCCAGGTTAGCTCAGGTGGGGGGCCAGAGACTATTATTAGGTATAGATATAGATATAGACTATTATTAGAGGTCTAGAGCAGTGGGAGAGATGGAATGCTAGTCATAGTTTCTTCAATAATAGTGTGACCTTACATACTAAGAATCACTGAATTTATCTGGATCTCAGTTTCCTCACCTATAAAATGGAAGGTCAGGGAAGTGTCTTTCCAGCTTTATTTTTCTGTGATAAAGGTTCATTCTTGGCATAACTGTGGGGAAGGGCTTTAAATTAGGGGTGTCATCAAGTGTGATTATAGGGAATCACATTGTAAAGTTTCTCTAGAGTTCATTACTGGCAAGGGAAAACCCTGATTTTAAAATAATTTTAAGAATAAATAATTCATGGGAATGGTAGAAAGACCATAATATTTAAACAGTAGAGAAGAAATACTGCACTAATATCTGTCTGCTGGATGGACTAGGTGACACATCTTTCTCTATTTTCTGTTTATTATTTACTCACGGAGTCACCCTTCAATTATCCCACCAATGGAGAGAGAAGTAATAGTATAGCTTATCCAAAATAGCAAATAGTTATTTATATTTGACTTGGGAAAGTAAATCCACTACAAAAATTCATAATGCATTCCAAACCAGGTTTTACATATGCTATTATTAAAATTAGATTACATTCCCTGAACACATGCCAACTGATGGCTGTTGGCAATGGCCCAAAAGTCTGTTGGATGAGACTAAGAAGCCAGCCTTTGGTCAATATTTACCTGTAAGGCATTCAACCACATACAGATAATTGAGAGATGACTTTATACTTCTAAACAACATTTTAGAGACAACAGATCAGGGAGGATATTTGACAAAATGATCAAATGAGATAATGTTGGTAGAATGTTTTGAAAACATTAAGACTCTATATACATCAGCTATTATAATACTTCAGTACTTTTTGCTGTTCTTAAAACTACCATGAGGGGTTTCTAGTCAACAAATTGAAATCACATAATAGCAGAACCCCAAGAACTGAAATCTCTCTCATTTTAATGACTCTTAGAATTATTTGTGGTCAACTGAAACTGGGGGTTCCCAATCTTCTTTGTTGCTCATATCTCTTGGTTTTCTGTATTCCCTATTCAATATGAAAAGGAAATAAATTCTAGAGTTTTCCATGTATACATAAAATAATAGAAAAGAGATTAATTTTTGATAAAGACAACTTTCTTTGTCATTTTTAGTATCATGAAGTTGTTTTCTCAGCAATCCACAATTATTTTCCCTAACACTTTTATTTTTGAAACAGTTCAATAGTATCATAGAGTTGATTACTAAATATTCCCCATAGTTCTTTGACAAACTTCTCATACTCACTGAAAATATGCATTCTCTAGAACCTGGACAAATCAAATGTTCATGCTCAATTCACTGGGTCTCTTTTGCCCTTTACAGACTACTAGAACAGAGGAATTTGGAGAACAATAAAAAATAAAATAATTGATGATTTGCCCTATGTTACATAAATCTACTTGCTTCATCATACAGATTTTTACAAAGTATTTGCTTCTTGTGCTCTTATACTAGGAATTATTACTTAACACACAGACTTTTATGTTTTGCATGGTGTTTTATAAATATGTTTATTAGTCACTGGACCCTATGACCTTCTCTAAGATATTAAAGTAATAATAATAATGATAGCTCACATACATTTCACTATAGAAATACTTCATACATAAAAAGTAATAGATAGCAAATTTTTCAGATCTGTGATTTCACTGGCATGGGGAATTTCTTTTGAAAAAAACTCTCTATCAATGAATATCAGTAGCTGTTACGTAACCGAAAGTATTAAGAGAGCTGCCCAGTTAAATTAAGTTAAGCAACTTCCTTGGAGTCATAAAACATTACTTATCAGAAGTGGCCCTTGAACATGACTTCAGTCATTTCCCCATACACTATGCTATGCTGCCTTTCTTAGAATTAATCAAGCAATCAACTGTAATCAACAAGCACTTAACAAGCATCCACTATATGTCCCTGGCACTATACTGTATTAGAATAGTCTATAAAGTACTTGGAAATTTGCAAAGCACTTTCTTCACCAACAACCCTGTGAGATGGATAGTACAAATATTATTATCCCTGTTCTACAGATAAGAAAACTGAGGCCCAAAGGCCACATAGCTAGTTTGTGGTAGAGCCAGGATTTGAACCTAGCTACATTACAGTATTAAATAATACTCAAAGGAATGGTGAGGTAACCTGGATTCAAATTATTTCTGGGCCTTATTTAACAGGCTACACTAGCCCATGAGAAAGGCTGTCTCTCCCAGTTTCTGAAACTGGTACATGAAATGATGGTTGAAACCAACTTCCTGGATCATATATATATATGAGCATTAGCAGTTCTATATACTTTAACTCAATTGTCCATTAAACCCCACCACTCTTTATTAAGTTGTGAAAAAGGCCTTTCAGATAAAATCAAAAATTCTATCTTAGCCATGTTGTTCTGAAATAGCAAAATATCTAATAAAAAATGTCCTAATGACAGTGGAAGTAGAAAAAATTGGGTGGAAGAAGGGGTCAGAGTTTATCCTGTGCTACATCTTAGTTGAATTTTTCAGCTTAACTGGAAATTTCTTGATGCCAACACCTTCAGTGAGATACGCCAATTTGTTTAGTCCAGGTTTTGAAAATTTAAGTTTGTCTTTGTGTCAGTAGGGCCTAGCAATTGTGTGGCTCACAAAATTTAGATAATTAATAAAAGCTTGTTAAATTGAATTGGTATAGAAAGCACTCTACTGTCCTCAGAAGAAGTAGTTTACAACAAAAGTGGGACCATAAGAAAGTCGGCAAGAGAGGAGCAGACAAGCAGCAAAGAGAAAAAAAAATGTGCCAAAAGGAAGAAAATTTTAAAACCATAACTCTCTCTCCTCCCTAAGATTTAGAAAATGAGGCACGGCAGATGCATGGAATTCCCTCTTACATCTTCTCCTCCCTGCTGAATAGGCAGATGAGAGTGTACAGAGAACTCTGCTCTGCATGACTGAAAGCACACACACACAGACAAGCACAAGCGCGCGTGCGCGCGCACACACACACACACACACACACACACAACCAATTTTCTTTTCTGTAGCAGTCGGAAAAGGATGGGCAGAGTAAGAATGACCAACAAAAAGTACACAAATGGTAACAGTGGATTTCAGACCTGAACCTAGGAAGACCTAAATGGCTTAGAATAAGAGACTTTGTCATCTTTGATTTAATTAGATGACTGTTTTCAGGATGTGAAGGGTCTAGGCTCATAATCAAATACTTACGTAATCCTCTTCATTGAGTCCTTGTTTCTCAACAGAACTTTTCACCTCCATGGAAAACTTCTCAAACTCGGGTTTCACTGTCCTCAGTAGAGTAACTGTTTGGAGAGATGAGTATGCTTGCTTAGCTTCAAGGTCGTGTTTGTCTCCTCGCTTCCACGAGCCATCTCCTACAGGAGAAAGAAAAATATTGACAATTCCAAGCCAGTCACCAGAAAGGAACCGTTTTCCTTTTAGACTGCTCTGAGTAGCTACGTCCCGCTTTCTTTCCATAATAGCCAGGCTAAGGGGCATTGTTACAGTTTTACAATTAGTTAGAATGGACCATTGTTGAGATCACTTGATAAGAGGAGGCCTTTGGACAAAAAAAAATAGATTTGAAATGGGGAGAACGACAAAGGATTGTTGATGCAATTGCTCTGTAATAACCACGTAAAGATAATTTCTACCCATCAGAATTTCAAAACTAAAATCCTTCTCCTGTCTTCATAAATAGAAGTCACTAAGAATCAACTAGAAATTTAATGAAAGTGTTACTGTATACTAAATTATTTGTATTATTATATTATATAATTATGTCTTAGAACATATTACACTACTACAAATGTACACAGAAGAACATATGTATATATCAAAGATTTATTTCCTCCCTCTACCACATTGAAAATGCTTATAACTTAGTAGATAAATATTAGCTTCCTGAGGCTCCCATTAATTAAGTAATAAACTCACAGTACCTCAGTTTCCTAAAGTATAAAATGGAGGTAATAACAATTATATTACCTAAAAGGTTTTTAATGAAGTTAGTGAAATATGCGTACAAAGCATTATATAACTATCAGTTATTGTTAAGTGATTTGCAGGATTTGAACATAGGTCTTCCTGACTTTAAAGTTCAGCACTCTATTTACTATGCCCCACTACCTCTCTAAAAATGTAATTATATATATACATATATATATAATATATATACACAAAATATATATAATCTCATACATATTCTATATTATACATATGTATACATAACAATAATCATAAAACTGACACTGCCAAGAATGTTAAATTAATGAGTATCTCAAATCTCTTCAGTTATATGGATCCTAAAACCTTAAAAATGACTTTTAGAATTGTTATAATCCCATGATAATGATGTTCGGTAGAGCATTCATCCACTATCAACAGATCACTGTTTCACAACTGTTGATTAGCTGAAGCAAAAGTGAACTGAGTGACTAAAAACATGAGCTTTCAAAATTTTCTTTTTTATTCTGAAAGATAGGAAGCCTTGAGATCCCACAAACAAATCTTAACTTACAGCTACTGACAGAAAGCAATTATTTTCATGACATCATGTTATTTCTTACATTTCTGGAAGCAAAGCCGAGAGGCTTAGATGACTGAAACCTAGCACATAAGTGGTATCATAGTGTCAGGTATCCATTTAACTTTAGGCCCTTCTAATCTGGACAGATATGGAAGGAGGAGGATAGCTGATGTGAACTCTGCCAGAAAGACCTGCATCCATCCATCTTGTTCTTTTGTTTCCATTGTACTCTTCAATGCTTCAAATACCTGTCATTTCATCTGCAGGCTTACTCCCTTCACCAGTTCAAGTCCCAGCCCCTCTATATCTTAGGCAATGACATTCTTAGGATGCTGTACCCAAAATCAGTCACTTAGCTGAGTCACTCAAAATGTAATTAGGCTGGACTTTATTCTGCTTACATACTGTTCATTGCTAAGCCTATATCATAAGCCTTTACATTCTGGTGGAATCTTTCTGAGTTTGTATTCTGCTAGCATAGCTTTCAAATAAGGTCTATGCAGGGTGGAACATCAGGGTGAGACTTTTAATTATATAAAAAATTAAGCCCCAAGATATTTTTAAGGTTTACCTTCAAAGACTGTCCTTAGTCTCTCCTCCACCTTACATCATGTAGTAGGAACGAGCATGGGATTTGGAGCTAAGATGCCAGGTTCAAGTTTTATCTCCTCTCTGAGCCTTACGTTTTTCATCTGTAAAGGGATGGGGTTGGACTCATTCTCTCTAATGTCTCTTCCTAAAGAGACCTTAAATCTGCTCTAAATCTGTGATCCTTAAATATTTTTCTGAACAAAGAAAGAGATTCATACTAACTAGGAGAAAGAGTCACTGATGGGCATGAATGACTAATATTTAGGGTCTGTACCAATCCACTCAGCCGCAGAAAAGCCAAAATGTTGAGAAGTCTGAAGCGCCTTCACCTATGGATGAAGCTGGATATTAGTTGGGTCACAGCACAGATTTGTTGATATGACTTGGTTTGGTTTGTGGTATGGAGATTCATATGTAATATACTCAATGTTTCACAGACAGCAGAGTTGTACCTAACTATTGGTAAAAGAGTTATCTGTCCTGCCAAGGCTCTATAATGATCTCTTAAGTGCCAGTTGCAAAGAATGGTACTTTTGCATTCCTCATCCCCCTTGAACCTTCGGCAACATTTGACATTCTGGACAAATTGCCCTGTCCTTCTTGATAATCTTTCCATATTCTCCTTTTATGACACTGTTTACACTCAGTTCTCCCTGCATGTCACATCATTGCATCTCAATCTGTTTTCCTGGTTCTTCTTATTCTTATTCTTCCTACCTTCTAGTTACAATGTCTAGCCGACTTCTCTTCACTGGATACTATCTTGCTTGTTAATTTCATCCCCCTCCCATTGCTTCAATTATTACCATATGCAAATGGATCCTCTCTCTCTCTCTCTCTCTCTCTTTTCTCTCTCTATATGTGTATATACACAGACACACATATATAAATGTATATATACATATATGTATGTATATATGTATATACACATATATATGAAATATATATAGATACAGAGATAGAGATAGCTCTAATGCCTCCCCAGACTGCTTGTCCTTTATTTTCAGTTGCCTGGTAAGCATACACACCTCAATGTACCCCTAGCACTTCAAAATCAACATATCCAAAACTGAACTTATCATCTTCTTCCCTGAAACTGCCCTCCTCCCAATGCTTATATTCCTGTCAATTGTCTTAACCTCCACCAACATTTCTAGGTTTATTTCAAGTTAATTTTCCTTAACACTCTCTGTGTTCCACTTGCCTCCTAGCTATTTCCCCTCCAATTCAACATGTCATTTCCTTTTTCCATGCCTTTGCATAGATACTATTCCCCATTCCTAGAATGTATCCTATCTTTACTTCTATGTCTTAGAATCTATGGATTTCAAGATTCAGCTCAGATGCTACCTGCTATGAGAAGCCTGGCCCCTACCACTGGTCATTAGTTTTCTACTCCCTGAAATTACTTTATATTTATGTATTTGCATTCATGTTATCATAGATACCCTACTGATGTAAGCATGTTTTATTGGTATACATGTTTTATTCATATCTCCGACCAGCCTCAACTGGTTCATAGAAATTAAGGCCTTTGAGGACAGGATATGTTTTGCTTTTTTGTCTTGATATGTCCTGTGTCTGTCATAGTACATTGTAGATGTTTACTAAATGTTGAATTTAATTGAATTCCTTACTCCCTGAATCCAATCAACTGCCAAATCTCAATTGTTCGACTTCTATAATATTTCTCATCCATCTCTTTATACTGACCCTACCTGAGTTTAGATCCTCATTATATATTGTAGCAATGTCCTAATGGATCTACCTGACTTCAGTCTCTTCCCTTCTCTTATTTATCCTTTACACATGCATAGGTCTGGCTATGTCACCTAATGAAAAATCTTCTGTGGTTCTTCTTTGTCACCTCTATGATAAAACACAAACTCCTTGACCTGGTATTTTAGGTCCCCATGCACTGTGAATCCAGCCTACCTTTTAACTTGACTCCTCTTCACACACTTTATGTTCTAGCCATATTTCCCATTCTTGTCCTGCACTCTCCCTGTCTTCACATAGTAATTCGGGCTATTCCCTGTACTTGGAATGAATTCCTTCTACATCTTTACCTGTTGAATCTTTTCTCTTCTGTCAAGGCTCCACTTAGGTGCCAACTCCTCCATAAACTCTTTCTTAGTCCTCCCAGGTGAAAGTGCTCTCTCCCTTCTGTTTAATACGAGACTTTATCTACACCCCACCTTTCTTTGTCCTTATCAAATTTTATCTTATATCCTTCTATGTTCATTAAACTATAAGCTTTTTGCAGGAAAAACTCTTCATTTTCATCCTGATTTTCCAATCTACCTTGAACACAGTAGCTACTTAGTGTTTTCTTTTTTAATTGAATCGAGTTGGTAAGGGTGGGGGTGCTATCCTTTACAACCACATCAAATTTACATCTGAAAGCCCCCAAAATCCATGAAATTTTCAAAGGCTTAGCACAATGATGTCAACTATTTTACTATTTCAAGATGCTGACAGGATTGTTTTATTGAGAAAATACAGAGCAAAACCCACCGGTGAAATCAACTCATCTCCGTACTCTCAAGTGTTGAGCTAATGTGTGAAACTGATGAATCCACATTGATAAGATGTTCAAAATTTACTGCTACCTGAACAACTGATTTAAGTTTTCATTTTTATTTTGTTATTGTCATCTCTTTTTGGCCAATTTATTTTTATAATTATTCACTGTTAGGGACAAAGGGAAGATTAAATTGGTCTGAGAATTGCAAATACCTCAAAGAAATAAGAAAAAAAATGTAAGAAAAAAAAGTGCCCCTGGCCACTTTCTCTAGCAGTGGGTACACCTTCTCTCATACTTCTTGAGACATCAAATGAGGAGGAGGAGGAATATATTTACTCTTGTTCTTTGCAGTTGCTAACAGACTCTCTAACTGCTGCCATCACTGAGCATCCTCTCTTCACTCCAACCACTTACATAACCCACTCCAGATCCTTGCTGCAGGCATCTACCAACCTTCAGTTCATTCTCCTTCCTTTCTTAAAGCATTCACCACCTGGCTCCCAGTCTGTCTCTCTACTCCAGTCCCTGCCTTCACAGTCAGGGACTTGAGTGTATATTGTGATGTCAAATATAGATCTGTATAAAGAAGATAAAACTGAACTGATAATAGTTGTTGAAATAACCGAGGGAGGATGCAGTGAGAGAGGAAAAGAAGGCCCAGAACAGAGTTAAATATCCTGGCCTCCCAGTTCATTAACTTTCTTAGTTCCGAAGACCCAGATTTTCAC